TCTAATATTTATTCAAAAGAATTTGTTTTTATTTTGAGTGATAAGAAAGATGTTTTAATTGTAATATTCATCTCCTATTATTTCTTAATGATGCATTGAATTTTTATCTCTGAATTTTACTGGTCTGTTGGTAATTCCTCAGGACATCAACACTGCATTAACAGAAAACTATCTTCAAGTTTCTTTTTACTTGCTTTAGTTTAGGTCAGGGACATAGTAGGCATAGAGTAAGTGAGAGGGAGATGTCAACAGGTCAGCTAGATACTTATCCTCTCTATGTGTGTGTGGTATGTTGGCCTGCTGAATCTATGAGCTTGCAAATGAATCTGGAAGTGGAAACATGAATGAGCTTGACTTCACTATTGTTGCAACTATACTACTGTTTTGGCATATTTTTTGGTCTTATATTAAAATCTAGCACTGTCAGGATCCCATGCCCATGGGGTTCAAATCACTCCACTCAGTTTGGATCATCTAAGTTCAGACAAGTTTCTAGTTTCTGCCTTCAATAACATTAAGCTTTTTCGAGATTGACAAAAGACTGCAAATATGGAATACCCTAAGAGGATTAAAACCACTTAAGCTTTTTTATCTAGCTAAGCTTCTCTATAATCAGGCAGAGTCAGCATCTTTGTGGATCTGGGTTTTTCCACCCTGTGACAGAAAACCAACATTAATACTTGGTGATATTATAAGATATTGCTGACACATCCTGGGTTAGTCTTCAAATGTTTTAGTCTATACTTCGTGATATATGACAACTACAAAATATACAAAAACACTTTACCAAAATAATTCCTGAAATTGCAGATATGTTTTACCCCAACAGACTGAAAAATTTTGGCTTTTTGCCACTTGAAATTGAATGTTTTAGACTTGATTTAATACACGTGGGATTTAGAATAGAATTCAATTGATGATAGGTTTTGGGAAATATTTTACTAAAATCTAGTATAAATCCACATAAGGACATCCATTAAAAGATTCAACTGTGGCTTTCTCACCAGAACATAGAAAAATATTTTTTTATTTAGGTAATGAATGAGTAGAACCTTCTCCTGCTTTTGGAAGTCATTGTTCAGACATCTTCAAAAAAGAGATTAAAATACATTTTGATAGTATTGGCCAATGGTAACTGCACTTTTGTACAATGTGCATCTTGTACTTGCTTAAGGGCTTTTTCAATTCAATATTTTGATTATTCCTGTTTTCTGCATGTTGCTGGCACTCATTTATTTTACACATTTTACCTTTTATTTGTTGGCCCTTTTTTGGCAGAATGGCTGCTGGCCTAATAATAATAATAAAATAAAAATAATAAAATCTGGGGATTGAAACCACTTCCATAGTGTACTTCTTTATCTACCTGTATTTCTTCAAGGTCTAGCAGGGGGAACATTTTTACTGATTTGGGTCGGCCACACTCTGGCAGAAAACCAACCATACTATGAAATATTGCTGACATATCCTGGGTTAGGAGAATGATTTTTCTGCCCTCAAACTATGCCTAATGCAAGTAACCATCATGTGATGAAAGTTTGGAGTATCTCCAGCTGTTTTTCTTTCCTAGCAATTGTAAGAAATTTATGCAAAAATTTTTTAAATGAGGAACTAATATTATTACATACTTTCACATTCAGATTTGAGTGCTAATTTTGGCCATAGTACTCATTAGAGTGCTAGTTTTGACCATAATACACAGTAGAATGCTAATTTTGGTCATTGTACTTATTAGAGTACTAATTTTAATGATTATACACATTAGAATATTCATTTTGGCCATTGTACTCATTAAAGTGCTCATTTTGATGATTATACCCATTAGAATACTCATTTTGACCATTGTACTCATGAGAGTGCTAATTTTGACCATTATACATATTAGAATGCTAATTTTGGTCATTGTACTCATTCAAGTGCAAATTTTGACCATTGTACACACTGGAATGCTAATTTTGGTCATTGTACTCATGAGAGTGCTCATTTGGACCATTATACTCATTAGGATCCTTATATTGTCCATTGTACTTACTAGAATACTCATTTTGGTAATTAGCCATTGTACTTTCGAAACTTCTTCAGATATCTGTCTTACTTGGTAACTTTGTCAGGATTCTCTCATCTATGTACCTCTTTCTCAATTCCTGGGTTTGGTAGTGTGAGAAAGTCATTTGTTGTAGTTTATTGGTAGACACATCCAAGTGACACATAAGCAATCAGAGTGAAGTGAAATGAGATCAGTCAACCCTGGTGAATTGAACAAAGGGTTCAGTTCAGAATCCTTAGACTGTTATTATGTATGAGAGACACTTGAAGAAGGCTGGATACTATAACAGCTAAAATGTTGTGAGTATAATCAGTATAGGAAGAATAACAAAGTCACATAACAGTTGTCTGGAGTTACTTTATATATATGTTGGGTTGGGATAAAAGTTCATTGTATTTTTCAGTAGGTGGTGTTTGAACAAATGATTCTGTTTCACACATGATAGAAATTTCAGATCTGGTGGCTCAGCTTCAGTAAGTTTCCCTCCAACCATAAGGTTGCCTCTCTATGTCTTTTCTATAAATACTTTCATCATAATTGTTCAGATGAGCTCTTTGCTATGGTACCTCGGCTTTTTGAATTTAAGCACAGTACTGGACTGGCATCGAGATCTCACCAATTTGTAGCTGAGCTGTCTAGATGCAACCATAAATTCTATGCTAACAGCTTCTTTTCTTGCACTTCTTGCTTGTGGAACTCCCTTCCCTCCATGCTTTCCAGCCAACATTAATCTGCAAAAATTTAAATGTAATACTAATCACTATCTACTGTCTTTCTGATTACTCTTTTCTCTTCCTGCTCATTATTAATATTTCTGTCCCTAATTCTTCCACACCCTGTAACCTTTTCTGTCTTAGTGGCTTTTCTGCCTTGCATGGGGTGAAATTGATTAAAGAATATATATAGATATATATATATATATATATATAATTATTATTATTTTTAAATATAACAGACAATGAATGTCTATTTTGTCTGATCATGAGCCGTTACATCTAGACAGTGGTTCTGTTTTAATACTTCAGTTTATCGTGTGGTATGACATCATAGAACCACATCTTGTACTTACAATCTCCGTCTACTATTCCATGACCGTTATCGTCACATAGCAATTTTCTATGTCAAAATAACAAAATATCATTTTTGACGGTGTGATATCTTTGTTTCATGTCTGGATAACCACTCTGAGGATGGCTCGTGTGAGCCAAAAGCTTAGGACCAACTTAATAAAAAAATTGCCAATTGTTGGGCAATTTTTGTCTTTATTTTCACCAGAAATTAGAGCAAACATTTGAACAGCTCATGATCAGACAAAATAGACATTCATTGTCTGTTATATTTAATATGTTTAAATAATGATCTTCTGCCCCAATGCACTATATCTATCTATCTATCTATCTATCTATCTATCTATCTATATATATATATATATATATATAAAACATTAGGCAGCATATAATTTACATATGAAGAAATAATCACACATAGAATCAATCAGAAGTATTAATGCGATTATTGGCGACATCCATCGCTAGAAAACATAATATATGCATTAAAATACTGTTCATCCATAGTGCAAGTTGATCCTCATCGATAAACTTGTTGTCTGTAGTTTTCAGTTTATTTGATGTTCAAATAGCAGATATTCAAAAGACATCTTTCGGTCGACGTACAGGTATATCGTCTTCAAGTTTTTGATTTTATAAGGAAAAAAACACATGCCTGATGATGAATAGAATACTATTCGTAAGTACTAGCATTTTAACATCAAATATCAATTATGTGATTATTTCTTTGTATATATATATATATATATATATATATATATATATATACACACACACACACACTGAAAGCTGACTGGAATTTGAACTCGGCTTGCCAATTTATCATTCTGAGCTGCTAAACATTACCCCAGAGGTGCATCCATTATGTAAATACCATGTTAATTACTTTACTACAGAAATGCATTACTAATCAAGAAAAACCATTTGTCATTGGTCAGTAATTAAAACATGCTTTACTGACCTAATCAGGCTATAATATAGTAAGAGAGAAACAATTGTCTTCCTTTGTTAGTGAACCCTTTCCAATTTATCTTCAAACTTTCTGTGAAAATAACGGATGTCATTCTATGATATCAACATACACCATACCTTTCCGATCAATGCAAGCACATTCTATGCACTTACAGATGCATATAAATGCACTAATCTACAGACAGATGTATTGTCATAAAACTGCATCATATTTAATAAGCTCTTGTAAATTCACACAGCCTATTGGTTTGTTTTTTTTTGTTTTTTTTTTTAATTTTTAAAGGTACGTCCAATCATTGAGTCTTTCTCTCTGTGCATCCATATTGAATAATTTCGCATCATTTTGACAGGATGATTAAGCACCAATGGAATGATTGGCTAATTACATTTTTGAAAATTAATTACAAGCGGGATTGTGAAAGCTGGGCCTCAACCATAAAGAATGTAGATGTCACATTTGACATTGACAAATTTTAATTCTAGTACACCGAATTGCAATATTTTCATCATTTTTATATATCAGTTTTATTCTTTTCTTCTTGAAAAGATTTTGTGTGCTTGTTGAAATTTAGAGGAAGCATGGACAGACAAGAGAAGAAATGAATGGTGTTTTCTTTTCACAAGGAATTATGGGTGTATGTCAAAATCGCTTCTACCTGGACAAAGATGTGATATTAATATTCAATACTCACTGCTTCAGGCAAAAATTTTGAGATGGGAGTCGTTTTATAATTTAACAAGATAAAAAAAAGGTAAAGATAAAAAGAATTTACTTAGGAAAATGGCTGAATGAAATGAAAATTAAAAAAGAATTTTGTTTGCGAACAATAATTTCCCATCATGCCATAGTACATTGTTGAAGCCAAAACAAGCATTTTTCAAGACAGACAAAGAGAATGTGAAATGGATAAAAACTAAAAAAAAAGGAATAGGAAAAAGGAGAGTGAAAGTTGGTGGGGAAAATGAAGGACATTGAGTGAGAGGATTGTGAGAAATTGAATGAGGGAGATAGACAGACTGTAAGAGAGGAAGGTGGAATAGTAAAAGTGATGAAAGAAAGAAAGAGAAAATAGAAGAAAATCATGAAAGAAATAAAGAACAAGACTGAGAGCATGGAGAAGTGAAAGAAAGGATGCTTTAAAGAAACCAGAGAAAGAGAGCTTGTCTTGTGGTTGAGATAGTTGTGTATTTCTGAGCAGTGGTTTGTTTTCAAATAAATGGTTTGTTAATGCTGATTTTTAAGACAAGTCAACTGAAGCAACACAATCTTTCTATACTTAGTTTTCACCTATTTCATATCAAGTCATATAATAAATTGTAATTGTACCTCATATCAATAAGAAGAAAAGAAATAAAACATAAGTAAGAAAGAAGGAGAAATAAGACAGAGATAGAAAGAAAAGGTTGAACAGAGATAGATATGAATAAATTGAGATAGATAGATAGATAGATAGATAGATAGATAGATATGAATAAATTGAGATAGATAGATAGATATGTATAAACTGAGATAGATAGATAGATAGATAGATATGAATAAACTGAGATAGATATGAATAAATTGAGATAGATAGATATGAATAAATTGAGATAGATAGATATGAATAAATTGAGATAGATAGATATGTATAAACTGAGATAGATAGATAGATATGAATAAATTGAGATAGATAGATAGATAGATATGAATAAACTGAGATAGATAGATATGAATAAACTGAGATAGATATGAAGATACTGAGATATGTAGATAGGAATGAACATACTGAGGTAGACAGATATGAACATACTGAGATAAATAGAGAGGTAGATAGTTATGAAAACACTGAAATAAATAAGTATGAAATGATATACTAGAGACTGAGATAGAGAGATATGAAAAAAACTGAGATATGAACAGAGATAGATAGACAGGAAAAGATTCAGATATGAACAAACCGAGATAGATGGGTAAATATATATATATATATATATATATATATATATATATGAAAACACTGAAAATAAATATGAACAGTGATATATATGAAAAACTGAGATAGATAAATAGGAAAAGACTTAGCTACATATGAACAAACTGGGATAGATAAATAGATAAAAGCTGAGATAGATATGAACAGACTGAGATAGATAGGAAAATACTTAGATATGAACAGACTGAAATAGATAGATAGATAGATAGATAGATATACACAGATTGAGATAGATAGAAAAGAGGAAGAAAAAAGAAAGAAACAGAATTAAAGACAAAAAACAAAGAAACAGAAAAAAAAGAAAAGAGAAAATAAAGATTAAAAAGAAAGAAACAAGAAGGAAAAAGGAAGAAGTGGATATAGAAATAAAGAGAAAGATGAATGGAAAGAAGAATAAAAAAAGAAAGAAAAGCAAATGGAAAGAAAAGAAAGAAGGAAGAAGAAAAATAAATGAGTAAAGGGGCAAAGAAGAAAAACAAAGCTGCAGAATAAAAAAGAGAGAATCATGTTTTGTTGAAGCGCCATAGGGAAAATAATAATCAAAAATGAAAATGGTTGACACAACAGCAACAATTGGTTGCCACAGGCCATAGGTAATCGAAAGAGACCAAAAATAAACAAATGAAATTGAGAAAATTATTTTCTCCTTCCCCACCTCTCTCTCCTCCACAAATGTCTAGCATTTATCTTTCTGTGTATATCTGTGTATTTCTATACATATACATGTGTGTGTTTACATATAAATATCTAATCTGTATATTTTCTTGCCCAGATTTAATTGGTGTGCATGAGTGTATATCTAATTTTATTTTAATGTGCGTGTGTTCAGATGTGTTTATCTCTCAATACATATTTGCTCATGAACATACATCTCTATTTCTCTTTTGTATATATATATATATATATATATATATATATATATATATATATATATATATATAAACCCCATGCAAGGCAGTAATGCCACTAAAACACAAGGGGTTATAGAGTATGGAAGAATTAGAACAAATGAACAAAAAAGAAGAGAGTAATTAGGAAAACAGTAGATAACAAGTGACAGTGCATTTCAATTTTTGCATGAGTGAAGTTAGGCAGGGATACTCCAGATGAGTCATAAGTAGAGTTTGAGAAGAATTTACAGATAAAACATTCAGCTTTATCAGCAGAGGATGATAACACCTCAAATTGATTGAAGAAGGAAGGAATATAGACCTTAAACTTATCTAATGCCCTATTACTGAACCTCCACTAATCACATGAGCCAAAGTTGTTACAGGCTATGTGGTGCCTCATTCTCTCAGAAAACAGGGACATGCTCCTTTGAGGACTCATATTTATTACAAGCAGCAATAGGCACCTGTTGTGATGAGAGCTGTCATACTGGTATAGCTGAAAATAGTTGGTTCCTGTATGCTATAGTGGCTGAGCATTCTGGTGTAAACCATGGAGAGGATTGGGGTTTCACCTGGTATTTCTGAGAAGGTATGAAAGCGTCCATGCCGGCTTTGACCCAAGAAGAAACTTCAATGACGCAATTTTCATTTGGGAATTTAAAGATGTCAGTCCAAGGGCCATCATGGAGAAAATTATAGAATGAGTCCCAGTCAGCATGTTGGTAGCAGAAAGATGTCTTGGTGGATATGATGGAGAGAGAGAAAGAGAGAGAGAGAATTTGTCTGTGTATTTATGCAAGGGGGTGCTGAAAAGTTCTGAAAATCTGATCTAATAACCAAAACTCAGAATTACTAGAGAATCCCATTATGGTCAACAACATTTCATATCTATTTCAGTCTGTTTAATTTCATCTTTCACAGATAAAGAAAAGACTTGAAGCAAAAAATCTGTCATTCTACAAAAGGATGATGAGAATACCATGCATTAAACTTGTGAGCAATGAAAATGTTTTAGAGAAAACGGAGACTTATAGTTAACATCAGAAAAAATAGTTGAAACTTCTAGGGAATATTATGAGGAAAGAGGACTTGGAAGAATTGATACTCACAGGACAGATCAAAAACAAGTGAGGAAAGCAACATATAACTTCGCTGATGAGCTTGGCGGATCAGGGTTTAGGAGAGATAGTGAAAATACAAAATTTATTGAGTGCTACAAAGGACAGGAAGTTATGGATAGCCATGATTGCCAATGTTCTGACAGGACACGGCACGTTGAGAAAAATATCTATCTCTGTCTCACTATCATCACCATAATCAGGTGTTGTCACAAGGTCACTACACAGCTAAACACCATTTTCTCCAACTGTCTCAGTTACATGCCAATATTTAAATCTCTGTGAATGATCTTCCAGTCTACTTTTTGCCCCCCTGTTTGCCTTTTTTTTTCTTTTGCCTAAAGTTGTACCTTATAAGAATGGCAGTGGGAAGATTGTTGGCTGTTATGACATGTCTATACCACTTCAACTTCCTTTTCTTACTGGTGGCTATGAGATCTTCCAGTAGGCATGTTTCTTATCAGATGATGCTTCACACTGCATCATTTGTAATGCAGCCTATATAGGAGATGCCTATGACGGTTCTGTAAACATTTAATTTCTATGTCTTAATTCATCATTGTAGTTCTGCTGTTAATGTCCAAGATTTGCTGGTGCACAGGAAGATTGAGAAGCATATATCGTCCTTCTCAAAGATTGAGAAGGCCAATATATGCAGCAGTATGGTCTTTGATTTCAGGTAGTTTTCTTGTCTTTCCATCTAATTCTTAATTTTTGCAACAGGTGCCATTGTTTGTTACTGCCCTTAAAAGTATTTCTATTCTGGAGCTCTCTTCACTGATAATCAAGCCGACATATTTGAATTGCCTCACTACTTTAAGTTCCTGACCACCAACATTTGTCTTGGCTGAAAACCCTTTCTCATTGTTTATCATATCTATCTCTGACTGTTTGCTTCCATCTTTCAATCTATTAAGTTTCTATCCATCTCACTTTCTTCATCCTCATCATCATCATCACCTTCATCATTCCTATGACAGGGTGTGATCATCGGGAAGCTGTACAGCTGAGCACCTGACAGGATTCTTGCATATGTATCGGTTGCATGCCAATGTCTTTATCTTTGTGAATAAGCTTCCATTTAACTCAGTAATGTTGTCAGAGGATTTCTTTCCCCTGTTTGCCTCTTCTTTTGCTTTATGGAAAGATTGTTGGCTGTTACGTTGTGCACATAGCATTTCAACTTTCTCTTCTTGCTGCTGGCTATGAAGATTTTACAATGGGTTTGTTTCTTTTCTGTGCTTCTTCACACTTTACCATTTGTGATGCAGCCAACATAGGATCTGCCTAAGATGGTTCTGTAAGCATCTCCTTTCTAATGTTTGTATTCTTTGCTGTAATTATACTGTTAATGTCCAAGATTTGCAGGTGTACAGAAAGATTGACAAGGCCAATGTATGCAGCAGTCTAATGGTTGATTTCAAGCAGATTTTCTTTGTCTTTCCAGATAATTCTTAGTTTTACAGCAGGTGCCCTTAAAAGTATTCTTATTCTGGAGCCCATCTTCACTGATAATCAAGCCAAGATATTTAAATTGTTTCACTACTTTAAGTTCCAACATTTGTCTTCGCTAAAAGCCCTTTTGCTGTGTATCCTTCATTATTCAGGGTGTGTTTGGTTTGTCTCAACTCATCTAGCTGGTGATCACTGGTGGTTTTTAGTTTAGTCCTCTTCTCTTAGACAGTGTCGTGAAATGTTCTTTGGGTTCAGAGATGAAAAGCATCAACAAAGAGAACTTTTAACTTAACTATTATTTTACTAACCATGTTAATGGGTACATCTTCTATCAAGTGGGGATTGCTACACCCCCTATTCAAGAGCTGCTTCCAAACATGAAAATCTCACACATCCATTTCCTTTGACATGTAACAACCAACTCTCGAAAGACCTTTCCCCACTGTGGGGAGGGGGTTTACATAAAAACAGTCTGACATGTCTAGTTAGCTTGACATCTGAACAGGAACTTCCATAAAACCTTAATCTATCACTCATTCCCATGTTCAGCTCAGCCAATCAAAATCAACATCCCTATTTTGTCTACCATCTGACCTTAAAAGTCAGCCTCAAAAGGCTTGAGCCAAAATACACTGCCACACTTGCTGAAGCCTACTAGGTATGCCATGTGTTGTTTTCCCTTGTCTCTCTTTCCCTCTATTTGACCTATGAGTATCAGATTCACCAGGCCCTCCTTCCTCATTATGTGTCCCAGAAACTTCAGCTACCTCTTCTTGATGTTAAGTATAAGCCTTGTTTTCATCCTCTCTAAGACCTCATCATTGCTCACAGACTTAGTCAATGGTATCCTTAGCATCATTTTGTAGAACCACATCTCTGTCACTTGAGTCTCTTCTTCATCTTTGAGGAAATTGTCCGACATTTACTGTAAAGAAGGACAGATGTCACATAACAGCTCAGTATTTTTTTCTTTGTCACCAAAGAAATTTTCCTGTCTTGCAATACTCTGCCCAGCTTTTGGAATGCGTCCTTGGGCATCCTGATATGTCTATGGATCTCAGTGTTGCATTTACTCAACGTCCGCTGTCAGAATGCTTCCCAGATATTTAAACTTCTGTGCCTGCTTGATTCTAGTGTTCCTGACTTACAAATCGCATTTCAGGCTCATCCTTTTACTCATGACCATGCTACTTTGATTGAAAGAGAAAATAATCCACTTAAACAAAACTATATCTGGAAAATGCCTTTGTTTGATAGTTCAGCCATGGTAAATTTGCATCCAGGCATTTACAATATATCAGCATTCTTAATAGATTTTCTGTTTTCTGCTGATTGTCAGAGATAAAGGTGATAGAGAGAAAAAGAATACAGAGGAATTTGGCCAGAATGAAAAAAATATTTGTTGTAGCATACCTACGGACGATAATAGGTATGTCCCCATTCATATAAATACAGTAGTAAATACTGTATGTTGGTTTGCAATTGGAGATTCAATGTGGAATTCACTTGATTCCCTTCTAGCAGTTGACTACTTCTTCTACGTGCCACTGGCAAATCTTATATGTGTTGTTCTTGTCCTAAGTATTATCGTTCATTACCAACCTTCATGTGATTATTCTGTTCAGTAACCTTCCCTAGGTTACAACAGCATTTCCAGAATATTCTTTCAAAAATTTTAAAACTACCAGCATCTCTCATTAAATGCACATGTTTAGACATGGCAACATCAACAAAGCCCAGTTCAATGAAATCCTAACAGATGAAATGCATCACAAAATTTTTTTACCAATTTGTCATACTATTTTTCTAAATAAATAAATATATATATATATATATATATATATATATATATATATATAGTTTCACATCATACACAATCTGGTTATACCTATCTCAGTGTGTGTGTGTTGAATAGTTGATTCTATGACATATCCACTGTAGTTTGGTTGGCTTACAGTAATATCACATTGAAAAACTTAAGTTAAGCAACATTGAGCCTGGTCAGTACCTAGATGTGTGACCATTTGGGAATACCAGATTTTTTAAGCTTGGATGTGCAGGTGGTGCAATGAATAACGACTTGGAATGAGACATCAAAGAACCAAGTTTCAGTTTTAGTTGGGTTTATCATCTTCATTTATGTGCAAATATCTTTGGGAAAAATATGAATCCATCTCTTCTCCTCCCCCCTCAGCTATGGGTTAATTCACAAGAATTGTGTCAGTAAGTCATTATTATTTACTTTAAATAGCCTTCAAAATTTGATAAGCCATTAGAAACATTTCAATCAATCAATCTAGCTGGGTTACCTAATATTGCATTTTGTACTGGGCACCACTATCTGGTTAGAATGGCTGGGAGCATCTTTAATTATTTCAATGATGTGGACAGTTTCAGACATATGATGGTGACTATTAATGGGTCAATTATATCCACAAGGAAGGGACTCAGAGGGTGGTACACAGAGCTTTGGCAGCTAACAATTGGCCTGAGCAGAATACCATCTTCGTAAATTTTGGGAGACCATATATGTGAGGTATATTGCTGTAATGTTGTGACAACTTCATGTATGTCTTCGGTGAGAAGTGGTCCTTGTTCTTGATTAGGATCTGCAACAGTTTTCGTTCTGTTTCCATTGTTGGATTTTTTTTTTACTGTAGCTACCATTTCTAATGAGGTCTTCCAGTTTCCTTGTATATTCTGATTTTTCCATCACTACAGCTGCATTGCATTTGTCAGCTGGTAGTATGATGATGTTGTCATTTCTCTGTAGGATTTTGATTGCCAGCTTCTCCAGTTTTGTGATGTTTAATTTGAGTGGCTTGCCTTTCTCCAGCAGCTATCTTGCTTTCCATCTTAGCTGATCTCATCGAGCCTGAGGAATGTTCAAGGCTATTTTCTCAATTCAGAAAAGAAAAACTTAGCCAAGATACACAACCACAAATATACTAAAAGATTAAAGGAAAATGGTTAAATACATAACCTCATGTTATTCAAAACATGTAATACACAAATCAATCCTAATCCCAAATAATTTAAATAATAATTTGCATATATATATATATATATATATATATATGTATGTATGTATGTGTGTGTGTGCGCGCGCATGTGTATGTGTAAAATAGCTGGCCACTTGTATTCGAGGATACCCATCTGCTAGGGCAGCTAGCCAATCCATATTGCAGATGCTTGCTCAGGCACATATATGTTTGCTCAACACCCACAGAGCCCATCTGTGTTTTATACTGCAACTATGCTGAGCAGACCTCAGTTTCACTTTCTGGGAGAGAGTGTGTTATCTAGTGTGATAAACAATTTGAACAAGGCCAGCACACTCAAACCCTCAGACACGATGACTTGTGGATTCATGCTAGCACAGCTGTCAACACCCCACAAGAGTCCCATCTACCCAATATATATATATATATATATATATATATATATATATATATATATATATAATATAAATCACCTACTCGCTTACGTTTATTAGACATTGAATTGCATGACCTCGTGTCCATAAACTTGTCTGACTTTTCTGTTAACCTGATGAATATTGATGAGTGTTCCTATAACTAAAAGTTTGGAAGAAAAATAAGATTTCTGCTCTTGTATATAAATATACTTATCATGAAATAAAATCCTTACACTTTGATAAAGTCCCTCAGACAACGAAACACATTGGTTAAGATAAGTTTTTCTGTCTTTCAGTAGTGTATTCTCTTTACAATAAACCTCTCTTTCTTCATCTATGCCTGTGTTGCTGTTCCTTTCACTTGAGTACCACCTTTGTCTCTTTGTAACCTTCTTTAAGGATACAAAAATATATATGAACTCTCCTGTTGTTTTTAATGTGTGAGGGTTCAGTAGCTCAGTTCTTAGAACAGAACAGCCAGACTACCCACACAGGGATGTGCTTTGGTATAACAAATAACAGCTTTGAATTACAGTTACATTCATTACATTCAAATATGCATAAATACAGTTGAGAAAGGTATGAATCTATCTTCTTCCTCTCAAGTTATAGGAAAATAGAAAGCTAGACTAGGCCCTAAGTCCTTGGTCTAGAAGGAAAAATCTTAATCCTGTGGAGGTTCATTTGGAGAGCTTGTGGAACTCATTGTGCATCAGTTCTTTGTATTTACATTTTCTGACAAGTGTGGTTGGTTCTGCACAAGCCTTTACCACTATAATCAAAATATACAGGGTGAAAATACATGTGAACAAGTTTTAATGTTTTTAAAAACATACCAATAAGATAATGAATGTATATATTCTAGGGTTTGTTTTGATAAATCATTGTCTGGAAAATATGTCAAAGCTTAGTTTAGTCTGTCAACTGGAGCTTGTGAAGATTGATTATGCTAATCATGAGAATGCAGCTGCAACAATGAGAGCTTATAAAATAAGAAACAATTTAAAACAGAATCCTTTTGCTCTATCAACAATTACTTGCCTGATAGAAAAGTCTGAACCCATAAAGACACTGCATGATATTCAAGTGGAAGACATTCCTTAAAAGCTGAGTGCACACCTCAAGTTATAGTTTTCACCATTTTATATTTTTCATTTTGTGCATGCACATTGTTTTTGATTTTGTCAACTGTGCAGTATAGTAGGGCCAGTTGGGTACTGTCTGTGAGAAAAAGAGCAGCATGGCACAATTCACTCACCCCAAAATTTAGAAATAGCATGTACTGCTTGGCATTTGTGTTGGATGCTCCAATATGAACATTTCAAACTGCTTGGGTTTCAATCTGTGGACAGTGCAGAGGATTCAGAATGAGTTGGATGATATATTCACTCAATATCATGATGTTTGGAGCAATCACTAGTGATGGCAATGTTATGCCTCCATTCATCTTCCTACAGGGCATCAGACACATCACAGAGGCCTACATTAAGTGCCTTAAAGTGCCTGGGTCAAGAGAGTGGCTGCTGGAAGACCCTATATCTGACAACAGGACTCTGCGCTATGCTACCCAAGCAGAGGAACCCAATGATGACTGTCAGACATTTTCTCTGACCACATCACCATTACTAACTCCCCAGACTGCAACCCCCTTAATTATTATGTGTGGCATACAATTGAGTGAGAGAGCAACAAAACTCCTTGTAACACCAAAGATGAACTGAAAGCAAGGACTATGGCAGCATTCACCAACTTAAACAAGGAGACCATCCAGAAGAGTTGCAGGAGATTCCAAAGTTGTCTGGAAGCCATGGTTGAAGCCAATGGCGATTTTATTAAATAAATTTACTCTTTAGTATTTCAAGATGTTTTTGTGTAATTTTGGTAAATATTTCTGTTAAAATAATTTGCATAATTTAGGTGACAATTTATCCATCGCATCCTGTACAATAAAATGGAGGAACAACTGAAAATTTGTTGTAATTTCATAAACCCCATTTCATACCCATTTGTTTCAAAGTATATATTGTTGTTTTCACAATTGCCTACTTTGCATTATAACAGTTTTAAAACTTGTATTCATTTATTTTTGAGCTCTGTGTGTGTGTGTGTGTGTGTGTGTGTGTGTGTGTGTGTGTGTGTGTGTGTGTGTGTGTGTCTGGTTTGGCTGAAAACTTTTCAGCACTCTTCATATATGAAGAATGATGGAAGATTTTCAGCCCAACCAAGAAGAGATTTCAAAATAAATTCTGATGTTCAACAATTTATACCAATTCGCTCATATTATTATGTGCCTATATTTGCACACTGGTAAACGGAAGTGTCAAAGTCACTACTAGCACAGTGACTGGTTTTACTCTCCCCTACTTGCAGAAACTTATTCAACCTTATGAAGTTTGCTCGACATAATAGATGTAATGAAGTGCGTGCACCAGTTAATTGTTAGCAATACAATTTTCCAAACCATTAGAATTAAGCAGTAAATATTGTGCAACTCATTGTGAGTTCATATTGAACAAGCTGGTTTCAGGATAGCTATGAGATCAACTTTGTCACCCATAAAACCTCTATTGGTTGATGGCTTTTGGATCAGTGGTCAGATTATTTTATTTTAATGAACTGCCTTATTTGGACTTTCCTATCATTTTCATTTTGGTATAATGACATCATTTGTTCTAATGGTGTTTTATTTTCATGTTGAATAAAGTCTTAGCATGCAGTTTGTGTCAACTCTTTATTATCACAGAGCATATTCTTGTTTATTAATTAACACTAATTACAGAAGTAAATATTATTGCATTTTCATTCTGCATAAATAACGTATGTGTGCATGATAACATTCTTATGCATGTCCTCTTCTGTGACCTTGCACCCATCACATACGATTTAAATATAAATTTAAAAAAAAGAGAGACATACAAGTAAGATATGGATCTTAATAAATCTGGCTGCTAAAAATCAGGGTATGTTTTTATTATTCTTCTCAAATTTACCTTCAGTGTAGAACAACACTAGTCTCAAGAAGAATCTGCAATATAATCAATCTTGACTCGGTATCTTGACTAAAGTCACTTTTTCACCAACATGACATAGCTTCCCTCTGCCTTTTCTAAAACATTTTCCTGACAATGGCTCTGAAGCGCTTTTTTCTGCTAGATTGGCATCTAGGTCCCACCCATTTACTGTTGAAATAACTAAATGCAACTGCAACTTCTACACCAACAGTTTCTTTTCTTGCACTTCCAGTCTGTGGAATTTCTTTCTGTTTACTTGCTTCCCTGGTAACTACACTGATCAAAACTTTAAATGCAATGTCAGTCACCATCTTCTTGAATCCTTTTCATCTTTTGTCCTTACCTCAATCCTCCCTATACTCAGTCTTTTCTCTCATTTTCACTCACTGCAACCCCCTGCATACTCATGGCATTCCCACCTTGCTTGGATGAAATGATTAAAAAAAATGATGACTGTATAATAATGTTAGCAATGTGACTAATAATGACCAGATTGATGACACTAGTTTGAATAGATTAATATTCTACGGTGTATCAATAAATTTTTCACTTGAGAGTTATCTGAATTTTGACCAGGTTGGCTCTGTTTATTTTAAACCCAAATTTGCCTGAGCAGTCATCTGCAGCAGGGATCTGATTTTTCTTTCCTAATTAGGTATGACATTAAGATCTAAGTCAAGACAATCGTTGCATTCATGCTTTATACTGCCAGACTAATTCATACAAAATCATTAATTTGCTTCACATTATATCCCTAATAAATTATGGTATACAAATTGAAATATTATGCTACCAAATTATTAATAAATATTAATTATTTTCTTAAAGTAAAAAATTGAATAAAGTTAATAAAATCAGTGTAACACGTACAAGAGATTGATAAATTGTTAGGATGTACAATGACTTTTAGGCCCTGCTAAGTATTTACACTTTTCTTCTGCAAAGACGAAACAGAATCTCTTTATTTGATTGCTTATTGATTTGTACATTGATATTCTAAGATTTCACATCTCTAGGGAATCCAGTCCTATCTCTTTGTATCACAAATTGGTCATGGTAAATCAAGAGAAATTTGTTGCATGTAATCAGTTGGAGGTCTTCCCACCATTGCAAATTGATATAAAATCAAAACATTAACTGAAAGCTGGAGTCATGTTTTTATATAGCCTTGTCAGATTGAGACTTTCATATGGATGTCATGAATGGCTTCTTTTATGTGCTGTGTCCCTTCAGAACGTAGGCGATCATGGTCCTCCACGTCTTCCTGTTCCTTGTAGCTCTTAATAAGTATTATCTTTTAGTCATTTCTCCCAAACACTGGTCTATCATCCATTTCCTCAAGCTCATCAAGTATGTTACACACTGCTTCTCCCTTTCCCTCAATCTGTCCTGTGAGTATCAGATTCTCCAAGTCCTCCTTCCTCATTATGTGCCCCAGAAATTTCAGCTGCCTCTTCCTGATATTAAATGTAAGTTTCCTTTTTGTTTACATTTTCTCCAAAACTTTGTCGTTGCTCACATGTTTCATCCATGTTATTCTCAGCATCTGACTGGAGATCCACATTTCTGTTGCTTCAAATCACTTCTTCTTTGAGGAGATTGTCCAGCATTCACTGACATATAGGAGGACAGATATCAAGTTCAGTACTATTTTCTTTTTTTCTCATGATTTTTTTTATATCTTAATACTCTGCTTAGCTTTTAGAAAACATCTTTGGTTATCCCAATACACCTTCAGATCTTAGTGTTACATTTTCCATCATCTGTTAGAACAATTTTCAAATATTTAAATTTTTGTTGTTGTTTGATTTTAGTATCTCCAATATGTAATTTGAACTTTGGGTTCATCGTTTTGCTGACATTTTGCTAACCATGCATTCTATGCAGTTTATACTTAGTCCTTCTGCATGTCACCAGACCCATTCTAATATATCTAAACTTTCAGCTGTTATACAATCGTTTTCTTAGATCAACAGTTAAAAATGGCTTTGAGTAAGTGAAGGCCATTCTTCTTTGGACCTTGCGAACTGGCACTCAAGAATCACAAAGAATTATACCAAAAAACAGAAGCATCACTTGCAGACTTTCAACAGCGGCAACACCTAAAATGGATAGCACATGTAACTATAAGAGTAAATAATGAAATAATCAAGATGTTGATAAGGAAACCCCCATCAGTACTAGAAAGAGAGATAATAACTAAGAGAAATATATTTTCCTAACAAACTGTTTTAAGAGAAAGATTTTTTTATATTTTAGCTGAAAGGCTTACAGGTTGCTTGGTCAATGAATGCCAAATGTTTCTTTGTAAGGAAACGGCTAATATTACCATTACTATTATTATATATTTAGGTGAATCAAAAACATTTTTGTCTTTGATTCTTTTTTACAGACCTTTCCTTCAATGACATAGTGAAAAGTTCTCAGGCTAACAATGAAGCTTTTCCAAAAAAGTGATATTTGGTCAGATTTTAGGGGGTCTGTTGGATTGATAACTTTTCATAATATTCATATATGTATATAATATATATATATATATATATATATATATATATATATATATATATATACTGGGAAAAAATGGATGACAAAGTGGAAAAAATTTTCTTGTGGCGTGCTTTATCTGATGAAGTCCTAACGTCCTAAGAAAACTTTTTCCATTTTGTCATACATTTTTCCCCAATATTGTTCTTGATATATAAAAATATATATTGTTAACTCATATTGCTGATACCCCCTGAAGAGTGGATGGACAGATCCACCTTTAAAACTCTGGAGTCTGGATGCTGGAGGTAAAATCAATCAGCTAAATGATGAATTTTTACTTCTATTAATTATATGTATATTTTATTTATTTTCATTTATTCTTGTTCTTTTCAGTTTTTGATTTTTAAGTAATGTAGTAAAAAAATTGTTTTTGTGTCTGCATTTTGAGATGATTTCCAGTCATTTATTTAGTATTTCGTTTTGGTCTGGGAATGTAATTATGGCTATATTTTTTTTTCCAGGCATAGTTGTTGGTTGAGGTTCTATATAAAAAATGGATCAAAAACACAATACACATGA